AAAAAAAAAAAAAAAAGAAATCGAGATTAACATTTTTGGCCAAATCGCCCAGCCCTACCTGCAGCAGCGCGTGATGGAGCGTGACCTCCAGCTCGGCCAATCGCTGCGCGGGATCCTCGCACTCCTGGATCTCCAGATCCTCGCATGGCACCGTGTCCCAGCGTCCGCAGTGAGCCGCCAGCTGATGCACCAGCTCATACTGCCCCGGCAGCGCCAGGCTCAAGCGTGTCTGACGGCCGTGCGTGAAGCACAGCTTCCTCCGCCTGCAGGCCCCGCCCTCCAGCCCACAGGCCCCTCCCACCTCCGAGCCCAGGGGGAGGAGCCTCTCTCCCAGCAGGCAGTTGAGCAGCTGGTATCGGGCTGAACAGTCCTGGCCCAGGATGAGGATGTAGGGGGCGCTACCGACCACATTCTGCAGATAGTCCTCCTCGTGACGCGGGAGCGAGATACAGCTGAGCTGACCTGAGACACAGAGAGAAACAAGGAGACTGAAGTTTAACATACAACACATTTCGGCAACTTTTAACTCGGACTGAACACTACATAATTCGCAATATTGCACTACAATACACTACTACGTCACTGCAAACTAAGGTTGAAATTCTCTTTGACCACACCAGAAATACAAGACAAACAAAACGTTTAAAACCACCAACACAGCAAAGAACAGATATATATATCATTCATACCCATACCCTATCATACCAAACCTGCATGAATTACTTTCTTCTGTGGAACACAAAAAGATATTTTGTAGAATGCTACCAAACCATTTTGGTTACCCTTGATGTATGTACAAAAATATCTCAAAAATATATTCTTTTATGTTCCACAGAAGAAAGAAATTCGTACAGGTTTGGAATGACATGATGTTGAAGAAATTATGACAATTTAGGGCTATCCCTTTAAGAACTTTAATATTTGTAAATAGTAAACACCTAATTTATAAAAGACAGAGACACTGATATTTATCTTTAATCAAGCTCATATTGAATCAACATTTAACTCATAGAAACAGTCTCTTGTCGCCATCTAATGGCGGAACAATGTAACTACAATCACCATCACGAACACACCGTTTCTCAATACTAAACATTATTATTAAATACTATTATTTATAGAATAATAATATTTAACATACAACAACAACAACAGCCATCAAAAAAGCTGCTAGGCAATTCAGTCAAAAGTACAAAGGCAGCGCTCTGATATACAGCATTGAATTTACATAAACATGAGGTTTTGCCAGAACTACCTTCTCTGGAACAAATAATAGATTAATGAGATCAACGAATTACATCTCGTTTAACCACTACAGAGACGTCAGAGCCAGGGGTAAATTCCCGGAGATCTGGCCGAGGCGAGGCGCTCTCTCTGCGGGTTCATGAGCGCAGAGCGGCCGCTGACCATCTGGAGCTCACAGCTCCGAAAACATCAAAGCAAATTTAACAAACTGTGTATTTAAATTACATTCTCGCCTGAAAACCTCTTAAAACTACATTCCGTGACACAAAAACAGTAATATTTATAAAAATCACTCTAATATCGCACTCTTATCAGCCAATCAGATTCCAGGACCAGAAAGAACTGTTGTATACAGTCAGGTCCATATATATTTGGACACAGGCACAATTGTTGTTATTTTAGCTGTTGACCAAAACATATTGTAGTTACAGTTATATGATGAATATGGGCTTAAAGTGCAGACTCTGAATCATCAGAACTGGAGGAAAGGTTAAGGAATTACAGCTCTTTAATATGTACCTCTAATTGGACAGTTGACTCAAAAGCTGTTTCATGGACAGATGTGGGCTATTCTTTTGTTATTTCTACATCAATTAAGCAGCTAAAAGTTCTGGAGTTGATTCTAATGGTCAGTACAGTACAGTACGGTACGATTCGGGAACGAACACCCATAATTCAAGAAAATGACAAACGTTTTAGAGTTATAACACAAATGAATCATTGAATCAAATATTTGAATTGACACACAGAAATGAATCAGACTTACTTGATATTGAAACTTAAAAAAAATTATGGAACTATTGTTATGAAACTTAAACAATTAATGCCAAATCAGGGTTATTATACTCTACTAATACTACAACCATAAAAATGCCATTCCATGAAAAAAATAAATGTTAACTAAATAATATTAAATATTTATAATGAAAAATTATATAAAACTAATATAAATAAAAAAAATATATCAGCTTGTTGCCAAGTCAGCATTTTTATTTTTATTTAGTTTAACTTGAAATAAAAAAAAAAACTAAAACTAATAGAAATTACAAAAAAAAAAAAAATTCATTAAAAGGTAACCTTGGAAAAAAGAATAAAAAATAAAAAAAAATTCTAAATATTCATAAAAGCTACAGCGGTATCCCAGTGCCTGTAAAGTACCAGTGCAGCAGACACATGAAGAACACTGTGTGTAGAGTCAGGACAGAAAACAAGCGCTGCCGCGGCCGTGTGTCCTGCGGCCTGCATCTCATGACCGTCTCGGAGCCGCCGGTCGTTGGGTTATTATTAGCAAGCGCTGCTGAGTCACTGCCTTATACAACAGCGCACGCTAGCAGCCCACACACACCTGGGAACATCCCCAGACAACAGAAAAAACCGCTACTAACATACTAATTCACCATTTCATGGTTAGTGCAAAAAATAAACACATACAATTACACACACACACACATGCATATGTATATATATATATATATATATATATATGTGTGTGTAAGGTTACTAATTTGCAATCAAACAATTAGCAATGAAATTGCAAAAAAGAACACAATGTCATATATATATATATATATGAATGCTTTGTAGCATTTAAGCAGTTAATAATTTACAATTAAACAATTAGCAACAAAATTGTGCAAAAATGAATACATAAAATTATATATATATATATACACTACCGGTCAAAAGTTTGGGATCAGTAAGACTGTAATGTGTTTAAAGAAGTCTCTTCTCCTCATCAAGGCTGCATTTATTTAATCAAAAATACAGAAAAAACTGTCATCTTGCAAAATGTTATTACAATATAAAATAATGGTTTCTATTTTAATATCCTTTAAAATCTAATGTATTCCTGTGATGTGCAGCTGTATTTTCAGCATCATTACTGCAGTCTTCAGTGTCACATGATCTTCAGAAATCATTATAATATGCTGATTTATTATCAATGCTGGAAGCTGTTGCTGCTTCATATTGTTTTGGAAATGATGCTGAAAATACAGCTTTGATCACAGAAATAAATTATATTTTAAAGGATATTAAAATAGAAACCATTATTTTATATTGTAATAACATTTTGCAAGATGACAGTTTTTTCTGTATTTTTGATCAAATAAATGCAGCCTTGATGAGCAGAAGAGACTTCTTTAAACACATTACAGTCTTACTGATCCCAAACTTTTGAACGGTAGTGTATGCTGTATATATATATATAAAATTATTAGAACGCTAGTGTTTTAAGTCAGTTATTTCTATCTTTTGCTGTAGTGTGTCAGCTACAGTGCTGTTAAACGTTTGAGGCACAGAAATGCTGTCAATAATAATGTCATGAATAGATTTTCTTTATCAATTAACTTCTATGAACTAAATGAAATCAACATTTGGTGTGAGCATCTCTGTGTTTAAAGCAGCTTTTGCCCTCGGTGCACTTGAGCAGAGTTTCTCAGGAGCTTCGCAGGAGGTTTCTCGAAGCGTCTCGGAGACGTTGTTTACTGCAGATCGAAGCAGCGATGAAGCGCAGGACCTGTGTTTACATGCAGCTCGTGGGGGCGTGGCCAGAGCCTCCCGCGCTCTGATTGGTCAGAACCAGCCCCGAGCGCCAGACGAGTCCCGACAGGCCCGAGGAACCTGATGTGCTTCACTATAAATCACAGCAAACACGAGCGCGGGGTCCGGGGAAAGAGCAGGGGTCAACCTGAGACGGGTCAAAGGTCACAGCGTGATGCCGTGAGAGCGCTGCTTTAGACTGATTAAACACACTCAACCATTTCACTGAGAAACCAGAGGAAACTTGCGTCAGACCTGCAAAACTCCTGTGTAACAGGAACGAGGACGACAACCACACCTACACACACACACAGACTACTCACACACACTCACATGCACACACACACTACTCACACACACACACACACACACAGACTACTCACACACACACACACACACACACACACACACACACACAATATCAGGAATCCCCATCACTGATAACTAACACATTAACACACAAGCAGAGCTCGACCGATAACCGATATCTCCAACCGATATTTACACTTTCATATATTGTATATTAATCATCTGATAACAGATCTACTATTGACTGACTCTGCTTGTTATGCATTTAAAGAATAAAACCCAACCACAGCAATGAATCGTTAAATAAACTTCTTTTAAAAACTTTATTAATATCGGCCATTTTTTTCAATGTTGTTATAATTAAACTAAAGCTTAGAGTAAAATTATTAAAAACCACTGTCTTAATTGAAATAAACATTTCAACCAAAACTTACTTTAGATATAATGCCTTCACAACTAACTGAATTAAAAATTTTTTTACCAAAACTAAAACTGAAATGAAAATAAGTTCAGTTAAATGGGAATATTTATTTAAAACAATTTAGAGAACAGAAAATAAATAAATTAACTTCTATTAAAAACTTTATGAATATCAGTCATTTTTTCCAATGTTTTTATTGTTACATAAAACTTAAACTAAAATTATTAAAATCCGATGATAACGGAAATAAAACTGAAATAAAAAATTTAACTGAAACTTAAATGATATATAATGCCTTCAACAACAAACTGAATTTAAACACAAGTTTTAAACACTTATTTAAATAGGCATTTAAATTTATAGGACACAACATTAAAATACTTAATATAAAATTGTAATTAATTTTAAAATACGTTTAACAAAAGCACTAAAAAGGCTATTTAAAAATAAATACTATAATAGTATATAAATAGTACATAATAATTTTTTTTTTTTTAACAATTTAGAAATGTGTAGCTTAATTATCAGAGAGCAAATATATGTGTATTTACGCAGGAAATATTATATATCAGTAATATTTAACTACATAAATATATTTAATTACAACAAATTTTTAAAACTGCATAAATAATAATTATACATTCTATACTTTTATACAGTTGTAGTCTCGCGTCACTTATTTTTTATTTTATTTTATTACTTTAGCATTATTTATAGTTTCAAAAAGCAGAAATAAAAGTGAAACATGCTGACTGGTCATAAAGACGGTAATTATTTCCAACAATATTCATGTTCTATGATAGCATTTGTTCATATTTTAAATTAGCTTGTATTTTTATGTTTTCAGCTTTAATTTCCAGCGCTTTTGACATCTAACAGTTAAGAGTATCGGTCGCTCAGTAAACGAACAGACGGACTCACCTGTGTCCAGAGCTCCAGGTGTGCTGCTGCAGGTGTTGCTGTGGTTCTGTCGGATCTCGCGGAAGAAGGTGAGGGTCTCCTTCAGGTTCTTCTTCAGGAACACGTTGTGTTTGTTGAAGTGGCTAAAGGCTCGGGTCAGATCTCTGACCAGAGGGCTGTTTTTCTGCGCTTTCTCCATCCTGATCCCGGAGCGAGTCCGCGTCACATATCCATACAAACGCGCGCTGTTTCTGCAGAGACCCGGATCACCGCAGGATGGACCGGACCGATAACTTTACAACAACAACAACCAGCGGTGTGTGTGTGTGTGTGTGTGTGTGTGTCAGTGCATCTAACCCTACACTTAAACACACATTCACTCACTCACTCACACACACACACACGGCCTCCTCCCGGTAACCGGACCGATATCGGCGCGGTTCGGATCGGTAACACACACACACACACACACACACACACTCGCGCGGAGCGGGTCGCTGCTTGCGCTTGGCAGCTTTTCCCCCGCGGGTGAGCGCCGATCATCGATAATCCCGGTGTTTGCGTCGGGAATGTTTCACTTTTCAGCCCAAATACGGCAGTTTTGCGCTGCCAGCCGCCGCCGCCGCTGCTGCCCGTCCATTTGGCGAGAGGCACGCTCGTTGGGCGGGGCGCGGCTGGTGCATGCTGGGAAATGCAGTCCGCTTTGCGTAGCGAACGTAAACAAAGTACGTACTAAAAAGATGAACGTCATTATTTAAGTGAAAGACATTGTTAGAAATACTTTAAAAATGCTGAGTCCTGCTGAAAAACAAAACAATAGAAACCATGACAGAAATTCTAATGGTTTCCACAATTACAAACATTACAAACCATCAACTTTCAACCATTAAAACCATTAAAAATGGAGTCCTGTAGTGTGTTTTGGGATATATCCCGTTAGGATTTAGTGGTAGCCACCAATAGAAGGCGACTAATTACCAGTAGAGGCCAACAGTTACCATTAAAACCAGTACAATTCCCATTATAACCAGTAAAACCATTACAAATTCTCTGATTGTGTCTATTGTTTTGTTTTGTTTTTCAGCAGGGTTCTCACTCCCTTATGAAAATTAACCATGGTTTTACAACAAATGAGACCAAAAAGCCGTGGTTACTATAGTTAAACCATCAAATTAACCATTGTTTTGCTACACTAACCATAGTTTAACCATGGTATTTGTAGTAAAACTGTGGTTATACAAATGGTAATCAATACGCCAAAAAACATGGTTACTACACTTTCACTATAATAAAACCATGGTTAATTTTCCGGTTATTATTACTATTATTATTTTGGTCGCTGCGTGTATACATTTGCATCTAATCTTTATCTTAAATTTTATATTCAGTTTCAACAAAAAAAAAAACCAGTCGTGTTATCGTCACAATCCTCTTTTCTTCTGATGTACAGTCAGTGTAGTACACTACATGTATACTATAGCAAGCTTGTATAGTGAGGTAACCTGGCGACCTCTAGTGGTTAAATCTGCGCAACTGCTGTACACTACTGTAAAATCACTGGTTTTGTTTATTTACCACATTTCTGTTCTGTTTGCGTAAATATACACAAACATAAATTATTATGTTGTAAATCAATCGGCTGCAAGGATCATAAAAAAGGACTAACTAACTGAAATAAGAGCATTGTTTTATTAATAATGTCATTTTAACCTGAGTAGTCAGTCGGTTTAGACGCCATATTGAATTGAACGCTAATATGAAACGTTCCTGTGAGGAACAGACGCACGTTATTTACATTATTATTTTTTGTCGGAAAATTCTGAGGAAAAAAAGCCAGAAGTGTGGGATTAATATTATAAACTAAAAAGAAAGAATGACGAGTTGATTTTTCTTACCAGAATTGTGAGATATAATATCGGAATTGCAAGAAAAAAAGTCAGAATTTTGAAATATAAACTCAAAATTAAATTTTTTATCCTTTTATTACATGGCTTGAATAGACCGCTACGTTAAAACTAACATTTTCTGCCACCAGATAGGCTCCGCCCACAAAAACGTCATCACTGTTTGCAAACACTGAGATTGGTTAATATATATATCCTTTGATATGGTTAAACATAATTAATGTTTCCTGTCGCCGAGTATGTTTTCCTCCAGACGCGTTGTGCTCTACTTTTTTTGTCCTAAACGCTCGTTCTTTGGGTCGACAGCTAATAAAAACGTAGTTCTGTGTTTTTGGCTTGTTTGCTGTACAGCTTGTCACACAGCAGCTTTTAGACATTGCTCTGTTTTTTGTTATAAGTCAGAAATTACAAGGAGCTAGCTTCCGCAATACAGAGTCAATGGAGAGCGTTGGAATGTGGGCGTGGTTTTCAGATTATGACGCGTGTCACTCTGTCCCTACTGTATAAAGGGTTTAAACACGCCTAGCTAGTTCACAACAAACGCGAGGGGCGGTGCTTACGGTAAGCGCCCCGCCCACACCGGACTCTAGTAGTCGCTCCGCACGCGCCGCTCGCTCACTGTCGCACCTGTACGCGGACATGAACGCACGACATCTTCCTCTTCCTCATCTTCCTCCGCTGAAAACTGATGGAGTGTGACGGGGATCCGGGCGACGCGCGCGTCAAGCGTCAGGCGGTGAAGCGGCACCATCACAAACACAACCTCAAGCACCGCTACGAGTTCCTGCAGACGCTCGGGAAAGGCACGTACGGACGCGTGAAGAAAGCCGTGGACCGATCCGGCAGAACGGTGAGAGAGCGTTCTAGAGAATGCAGCGTTTAATATCAATGATGCTATTACAATATTAATCATTACAAATAAATAAAACGTATTTTAAAATCATCAGATAATTAAGTAAATAATACAATATTTAGAATAAAATATAAAAATATTTTTTACTTTAGAATAAATTGACAGAAGTTATTTTATGGCTGTGCTTTTTTAATTGTCCTGCAGGTTTTAAGCACTTTTTACGCTCGTGCTGGAAATGATTGGACAGTATGTGCTTTGCACTTGCTGTGTATAGTATGGCAAGCCGTTTTAACATTTATACAAACTCTTGATATCAACAATTCAGTTGTCACTAGTTAAAAGGCTAGTTCTTGATATCAGGAATTGAATTTCAGCTAGTAAAATATGTAATTGTTGATATCTGTAATTGTATTTTCACTAGTTAAACGTCACAATAGGCTGCCATTCAAATTCAATTGTTGATATCGAGAGTTGATTTCTTCCAATTGCACGTATCGGAAATACAATTCTTACTAGTAAAGGTCTTTATTTCTGAAATCAGTAACTGCGTGGTTACTAGTGCAAATGTCTATTTTTGATATCAACGATTCAATTGCTACGAGTAAAAATGCTAATTTTTGATATCGTCACTAGTGATGATATCACGAATGTGATTGTCACTAGTAAAATAAGCCATCTTAGATATCATAAATCACTCTCCTAATTATAATTGAAGATATCAGAAATGACAAATGCAACATGTTGAGATCATTTACAGATATCAAGAATTAACATTTCAACTAGTAACAATGTAATTACTGATATAAAAAATAAAGGCTTTTACTAGTAAGAATTGTATTTCCGATATGTGAAATTGGAAGAAATCAACTCTCGATATATATATTTCTTACTAGTTGAAATTCAATTCCTGATATCAAGAACTAGCCTTTTAACTAGTGAAAACGGAGTTGTTGATATCAAGAGTTGGGAATAAATGTTAAAACGGCTTGCCATACGCTGTGTCTGCATGTGTTTAGAGGCATTGCTGAGCTGTTGTGATGAGAACACTCACTCTAGGTTTTGCTGTGAGGCTCATCAGTGATCAGAGTAAACACTAAACAGGTTCTGCGGAGCCACCCAGCCTTTGGAAAGAGCTTTAAATAGCCCACGGCTCAATTCACAGAGCCTCAACTTATTTTTACAGGCGTAGTCACTCGCACGCACGGCCCTATTGTTATTCTGCCTCCAACAGTGCCATTAATGGACACCTAACGCGCCAGTCTCCTCAAAACATGGGGTTCTTGTTTTTGCGTTTTAAAACTATTTTCATGACAGTGCAGCACACTTAACCCTAAACTTCTTTTCCATGGTTAATCTTATCACTGTAAAACAATTGTGTAGTTTGTTTTTAAAAATATTAAATTGCATAACAAATATTACTGACATGTAAATATTTGATATATATATATATAATTTCAGTATTAATAGTAGTGTATATATGTATTCTAAAAAGTATGTATTCTATAATACATGATGTTACAATTTAATATACAGTGTATATATATATATCAAACTTTATATATTTGATAGCATATGTTTAGACTTTTATACTATATACATACATACATTAAAATAAAATCATATATATGTAAATATAAATATACATTTATTTTACTTCACTGGTTATACTTTTTTTTTTTATTTATATATATATATATATATATAGAAATATTGTTGAGATATAAAAATAT